ATTTACGAATCGAAGACAAAAATTCGGAGAGAATATCGCGGCTTTCGGTTCAGATGTTGAAAGGTTGGTTCGATTGGCGTACCCGGAATGCCCTGATTTGATGCGCGACAAAATCGCTTGTGCGCAGTTTGTTTCTTCCCTGTCTGACAGTTTTGTAAAAAGGGCATTGCAGATGGAAGGGGTTACATCTCTTAGAATAGCCATAGAAAGAGCTAAAGCAGTTCAGTTAATTCAGGGAACTTGTTTTGAAAATAAGAGAGAAAATAATTTTTATTTAGAAAATAAAAAGGGGAAGTTCTTTAATGATAAGAAAAACAAACAACTAGAGATTAATAAAGGAAAAGAGGATGATAAGGAAAGAAGTAAAGACATCAATAAAAACGGAAATTTTTTTAAAAATAAAAATGGAAAGATCAGAAATAAAAAAGAATGCTGGGAATGTGGCAAAGAGGGCCACTTCCGTTCTGAGTGCCCTGGCAAGACAGGGGCGGAAAACACGAACTAGTCGAACTCGTCGGGGTCGGTTCGGCTAAGAGGAAAAATACCCCGGAAGATACGTTTGCCAATCGACGAATAGATATTAATAATTTTGCGCACACATTTCTGATGTTACTAATAATCATTCTTTCAGGTTTAATAAACATAATAAAAATAAAAATGAATATACTCAATGTTCTTCTTGTATTGAAAATTTGAATAATTTGTGCATTAATCCGTTTTCTTTCAGGATGAATAGAATAAACTGTGATTTAGAGGAGTTTAATTATAAGGGTGAAGCAAACGGCAAACCCTGTATTTTTAAAATAGATACGGGCTCCGACGTTTCTATTATTAAAGAGAATTTTGTCAATAATGTCGGGCTAGGAAAGAGCGAGATTAATTGTAATATTAAATATCCCACGGGGGAACGAGTTTTATTTAAATATGGAACAATTATAAAGATTCGACTTGCGAATTATTTCTTGGAGGTTCCGATGCTTGTTGCACAAATAGATGACGATTGTATTCTTGGGGTCAATTTCTTGAAATTGCTTAATTTACAAAATATTTTTTATCCAATTTTTCTTAAACCAACTGAAATGGCCATCGATTTAAAATGTTCTTGCATAAAGCGTGATGTCATCGTGGATATTCCCTCAAATATGGCTGCACTTTTTAGAGAGGGTTGCCAATTTTTGAGCACTTCTGAAGAGAAAGATTTTGCCGGTTTGTTGGGTGAATTCCACGATGTATTTTCAGACGATGTTGTTGCGGGAAATTGTATACTGGGGGAACATGCTATTAATATCAAAGATTCTTCCCCTATTAAACAGGTACCTCGTCGAGTTCCCATACAAAAGAAGGAGGTAAAAAAAATTATAAAGGAAATGAAAGATTAAGATGTTATAGAGGAATTAAATAGTCCATGGTCTTTACCAGTGGTTCTTGTTAAAAAGAAGGACGGGACGACACGATTTTGTGTGGACTATCGGAAAGTGAATGCTGTTACTATAAAAGATTCCTATCCTCTCCCTAGAATAGACGATATCCTTGATCAATTATCAGGTAACGTTTGGTTTACTACATTAGACTTGAAAAGTGGGTATTGGCAGATAAAGATTCGACCGCAGGATAAAGAGAAAACGGCCTTTTCAGTTGGTAATGGTTTGTGGCAATTCACAGTTATGCCATTT